TATGGACCTGCAGCGGAGTTTAGGCCTAGACACGGCTAGTGACGTCAGACTTAACTACCGGATAATGAAGACCCTACAGTATTCTGGAGAGATGCTGTAACCAGAAATGTGCCACTATGTTCCTGGAACACATTAACAGAAATAACAGAGCCTGATTGGATGTCATTACAGTGTTCTTTTCAGGGGCGGGGCCCTGCTTACTCCATTACAGCCAGCCCAGAGCCTTCCAGGAAACATGACCACTGTAAAAGCTTTCTGTGGCTTCTCAGAGCTTCACTGTCCACTCCAGTGCATACACAACACTATCTGCCACCGTGTGTGTGTGTGTGTTTGCAATGAGTGCGTGCCTTCTGTTTGTCTGACTCACAGCGCGTGTGTTGTCTTATTAGATTGCGTGTTAAGTGTGTGTGGAGCAGGGGCTGCATGCACAGAGACACAGTATGTGTGACAGCATTGAATCAATGCAGCGTCCATGTTTTTCTGCTCTCAGAGGACTCGTTAGCGGTGCTGCTAACACTCGGTCCTGTTAGCTAAAATCCATAATTTGTTTTTGGTTCTTTTTTTAAAGTCGCCTCACGCTGAGCTTCAGCATCAAGCAGCAGAGGGTGAAAATGTGCACTTCACACATCATTCTGCTGTAAATTAGAGGATTTCATTGCTGCTGTGGTGCACCAGTGGTTTGTGAAGGTCATTTAGAGGTCACTGCCCAATAGCTCTCACTGGAGTTCAAACAGGGGTCAACCTGAAATAGTTTCAGCAGCGGCGTATGAACTCTCACTGAGCAAACAGCACTTAAACAAGTCTACAAGGAGCATTTAGCATGCTAGCCATGCACATAATAGCACGTGCTAGCATGTTGACGGTGGTACGAATCGAGGTACGATTTGATCACATTTAGAATGCATATAAACCACCATGATGGATTCTCAACACTTCCAATACTTCAACCACAGATTCAGAATTTGTCTGATGTGGTGATGGCGTGCATCAGCTTGAGCACAGGCCGGAGACGCAGGATTAAAAATGAGTACAGCAGAGGGACAGTTTGAGCAGTTTGGAAATGAAGTCAGAGAGCCGAGACTGAGATGGTTTGGACATGTGCAGATGAGGGATAGTGGATATGTTGAGCAAAGCATACCGACAATGGAGCTGCAGGGCAGGACGGAAAGAAGAAGACGTCAGAGAAGATTCAGGAGGACATGCAGGAGTTCAGAGGTCGTTAAACTGAGCAAACAGCCTGAGATTAATCCTGGGTGTCCTGAATATCTGAGCCAAACTGTGTTCCAGTCCATCCAGATTGGAAAGCAAGCATTTTGACCTGGTGGTGATACTAAAGGAGTGCAAACAGCAGTCCCTACAGCCCTGCTGCTAGCACTCGCACAAATCTTCAAACCTGGCTCTGAACACGCATCCTAAACTTGCTTTCATTCTTTAAGTGTCTTGTGAAAACACACAGAAAAATTTAAACTGCTGCAAATGTATTAAACAGAACACAGCACAGACAGTGACTAACAAATCATTCGAAGCTTGAAAATTTGCAACAAAAACTTGTCTGCGGCTCACCTGTCTCTGGTTCTCTGTCTCGAGTCGCAGCCGAGCTTCGATGCAGCGCCGCGTCTCGAGGAAGGCCTGACGCTGAGCGCGGTCAGACAGGTAACTGATGAATATCCCAGCAGTGTTCATGCACATGAACAACACAGCCTGAGCTGCTATCTAGAACACACAGAAAGAGAGGATTAGGAGATTTGCTTGTTGACACATTTTGGAGTGCAAGAACCAACATTCAAAGCTTCTTTGTTTATATTTACAAATATTCTGAGGCGATTTTATGTCTTTATTAATTAG